AGTCTGGTCCGTTCAGACAATATGCCGGAGATTGTGTTGGACAATGTGCGTCAGGTGGAACGATTACGAAAAAAACAGCTGACCAGTCTGATTCGTTTGGATGAGATTCGTCATGACGTCTGTCCCGAAAGAACTGTGCTCACACGGTTTCTGATATTTTGAAACCCAGATTGTCATCATGTGAGTATGCATACACACACAGTCCGTTCTCATCGATCGATCCATCAGGTTCTGTTTTTGCCGTTCGCCAGTCTTTCTCTTTGTTGGCTCATCACATCTGTATAAGTTCAATCATTCCGATCGATCGATATGAATCTCACCGATCGACTTATAATATAACTCAAATTCCTTAAAATCTGTTGTTCTCATTTTGGCACACACACACACACACGCACGCACGCAGATAAACACACGGTGCAATACATTGCCAAAGCTTTGCCAGCTGATGGACAAAACGCGGACACAGACAGAAATTCNCACACGCACGCACGCAGATAAACACACGGTGCAATACATTGCCAAAGCTTTGCCAGCTGATCTCACGAATTCTAACCACAAATGTTGTTCCATCGTCAGATTTCCGTTTCTCTCTCTTTCTTTCACGAACGTAAAGGAGACATATTCACCCTGCCGGGAAAATAACAGATGAGGTGATCTAAAAAGATCCAGTCCTTCTGTCATCTTTCTCAAATGCCGGAGCACGGGGAGTGGGCAACTTGCATCACAAATCATTTCAGATCACTGTCCGTCTTCGTGCGTTGTCTTGCCAAATAAAGCATTCATCACAGCTACTGTTATTATCACTGGTTGTTCATAGGAGAAACCGGTTTTACTTTGGAATCTGTCCATCAGCTTCCCATTCTTGTCGCACACACACACAACTAGTGTCAATTCCCTTGTCATGTTTGTGTGTGTGTGTGTGAACAGCACCCATGAAATTCGAAAATATAAAAGTCGAGAAATGATCGTGATTGTGTAATTTTATTGGGCACCTTAGTTGAACGTTAGGGGGGGGGGGCACATTTATGAAGGATGCCTATTCGGTTTAGTGTGATCGGATTCCCGATACCAGCCAGATCTTTGGGCTTGAATTCGAAGGACGCAGCGTTCATAAAGGATAATTTGAACCCAGAGTTTAGCTGAGCGTTGACGCTCGAGGAAGCTGGACAAACTGGTGTTGCTCTGCGGCAATGCATTACCAGTTACCCATATATATAAACACGTAAACGTGGCAAAGTGGGAGGACATCACACGCGTGGCAGTATCTTTTTTTGTACGACAATTATCGACCAGCAAGATGCGACGAACGTGAATGAGTGAGGAGCATGCCACGGATAACGATGCAAGTTATCGTGGTTATACTGAAGTCAATTGAAATATGTAAACTTTTGCCACGGGGTGGGGAGGGGCTACTACCGGGGACAGGGAAATTCGTGAGGTTAACATTCCGGAAAAAGGTAAAACCACCAACATTATTGTAGCAAAATAGCACCGCGTCTGTTTTGTAAACAGACAGATGAACAATCGTGTCAAGTTTGCCCGACGCACAGTTTGAGGTTATTGAAT